TGAAAAGCGCCAATATGTTGGGTACACTGCTAAGATAAGGCTCGTTTTTTAAGCTGAAAATTGACAAGTGTTTGAGTGCATATCCTACAGCAAAGCAGTGGAGATCAATTTTCGTACTGCACAGAGATGGTTAAGCAATATAATGAGCGGCCCGATAGTATTTTTGAGAATGGAGATAAGCAAGGCCGTAAACCGATTTAGGCTTTGATGATGATCCCTCTGCTACAGTCAGCGAAGTAGCTTCTGTGGCTGCCACATGTCTTGGTGAACAAACTGTATTGGCCGCGAGGAATGCTGCATAAACAAAGTGTCGCTACTTACTGATAAAGGCTTTCTACAAAGATCCTTGTTCGCGTAGAGTTGTGGACATGCACAGGGACATAAACTTTCAAAGCAACAATAAGTGATTAAGTAATGGAATAATTAAGCTAATATATACGATTGATATACAAGGTCCTTTTATATAATATCACGACGATACGAGTGCTTCGTGTGCAAAAAGTCATTAGGCGCCCATAATGAAAATATCCTGCCGCAACTTCTGGAGCAGCTAACAGCAGAGTTTCCGGCCGTTCTGACTTACCGATGCGCTGTATCAAAAGAATTATTCGACATACTGCGACCTTGCATGCAACATGCTATGAAAATCGAAAATTTTCATGACATGTTACAAGAGCTTCATACCAAACAACATATCCGACTTCATATCTTATATACTCTAAATCAACTGGATCATCAGCAAAATCAGCGTACTTTGGTCGAGACATGGAATGCGACCAAAACATATGCAGAATTTTCGACATTTAACAATCCTCAAGGCTACGCCGGCTATATCCCATCCATTCCGTATTTCCGCTTAATTTACAACGCTGTTCTGGATGTACTACGCCCGTTTCTGGATAAGCAAATGGCAGCAGTCGATGGCGAGATATTCAAGGGTAATCATACCTTCAAGTTCATCAAAAAAATTGCTAAAATGGGCGACGCACCGACCTTTGTGGCCTTATACACAGTATGTAACGAATATGAAGAAGCTGCTAGTCCCGACAAAATCTCTATCGCACATGAAGACTCCCCTTGAAGAAATGAGGAAGACATACACCCAATATGGCTTTTTAACCGCCTCGTTTGTTCTTCACTGGCAATGTGCGAGGGGATAAGACGCTTTTGTTGAAAACGATCAAATTAATAAACGACGGACCAAAGCAAACACAACAATCTGCAAGTCAACCTGTTAAAAATCAAGCACCTTTCCTACGACTACCAAACAACATCAAAACCCACTATGTTCGAGACGCTATAGAAGCAAACGACGTGATAAACCGAAACATTATGGAAGACTCTAAAACGAATACTATTGTCATCGGCATGGATTGTGAATGGAATTACCCTCCTCCGGGAAAAGTGGCAACGGTGCAGGTAGCATACAAGGTATAACAAGTTATTATCATAGCAGCATCTGTATAACCGTATGCTCACTCGGTAATCTGATTAACTCTGCTTTAGAACGATGTTTTTATACTACCAATACACCAGTTTGACAGTGTACCAGCATCACTCTGTGCTCTTCTCCGGTCTCCCAAAGTACTGAAAGCTGGCCGTCACGTAGGTGATGACATGAAAAAGCTCCATCGTGATTACTTTTTATCATGTAACGAAAATACGGCACTGGAGCTTGGCAAATTTTTTCGTAGGCGTGGCTTTGTCGACAATGGAGGAGTGTCGTTATCTGTGTTAGCAGAAGCAGTGCTAGGCGCCCCATTGGAGAAGAATATTAGGAAGAGCGATTGGGAGGCACGAGATCTTTCGCCAACTCAAATATATTATGCAGCGCTGGATACTTGGGCATCACTTGCTATATACACAAAACTTGCCCCGTTTCTTACCGTTGGTAAAGCCATACCGTGGCCCGTACCACAAGGAGCTTTTGTTGCAATATCCTCGGCTAGCCTATGGTCACGTCCGATTGCTTATGGGGAGTTAGTTTAATATGTAAGCTTTTTATGAGAAAAGCTCGCAAATATACAACTATTTATTTGTTACTAGCATATGCGGATAGCACGATAGTACAAATAAATAATGTCGCCATCCCCGGTGCAATAATCAGTATATATGAGAAGACTTTAGCCGATTTCGGTCAACCACCGTTTGCAATCACATTACCTACGTCCATGCTACGATTCGAAAAGAAATCGCTGTGCCAGCAACAGCACTATAATACATGTAGCTCAACAGATGCAGAAACGCCATGTATCACCATGAATTCGAACTCGCCTAATGATGCTTTGGACGAAGACGACGGAAACTCGGAAGAGCTGTCATCATCTGATGAAGAAGCGGACGACGTTTGCAACAATCAAATTACATCGACAACTCCACTGATTGCTGACTCTCCACAGACCGACATAGCCAGCTTTGAAGCACAGCAATATAGCTCGCACCAAAGCAACCAAAATCCATCAAGAGTCTTAAAAGATATATATCATTTCATGGCATTGATTAAAGTGCCCAAGCGCCACATGCTAGCAAAGGAGTTCAGCCGCCGACTACGGGATGCAATCTTCGTTGTGGATCCTCGACAGACGAAAAGTGGAGGAATACCTAGCAAAACAAGGACTTACTTGGACATACATGCTCAACAGCAATCCTTCTTGGATTTTGCGAAGGGTAAAACGTTTTGTGCCACCACCAAACGAACTCGGGCCGTTTGTTTAGAACCTTTTCACAGAGTATGGCAACCTCATCTGCACAAGGACAGGACGAAGATTATTTGACAGCGATGCTCGCCATCAAGCTCAAAATATGCTCAAGGCGATTTATGAAGGCCAAATTTCAGACCATCCTGATGTGCCGATGTATTTCAGAATTGGATACGCCAAGAAAGCAGGCTTACCACTATATCGCTGTTGCCGCGATACCAACTCTCTCGAGGGAGGGGTTCATGAAAACATTATGCGCGCTATTGGTTATAGTGGAGCTGGACCCCCCATGGCCCATTTTTTTTGGCTGAATATCGTCTTCGATATAATATCAGAGTAAGAAGCATATGGAGAAAGTCGTTTTATTATATTGTATTACTTACTCACTTGTAAAGAGTTTTTAATTTAAAAAAAGGTTGGCACCATGAATCGCTATCAGCGTCTGCAAAAAAGTCTTGGACCCCAGGCTCGCCGAGGCACTATCGTATCTTGGAGTGAAACTTGGCATTGTTACAACAAGTGGTACTATTGTGGAACACGGCGCAGGCATCCTCACGCCAGGCTTACATTTGAAGGCATCTGATGGAACTTTTGGTATATCGAGAATGGCAGCTGACGTTGCAGAGGAGCTTAGTATACACTTAGCGACGGCGGTAACGCAGCAGCGACACGACCAACATTTACCTATGGTACGTCCACAGGCTCTTGACATAAGCATCAACATAATGCTACCATCCGGCTCGACAGCAAATCCAAAAAACAAACGATATGTGTTTCTCGCTGACAAGCAAGGTGTTAAATACGCTGTAACGCCGATCCATACCCAAGAAGAATTCATCAAGTTCAACAACATCATACCGAAAGAAAGTAATAATGCATCACAATGGGTAGACCTGGCTAAAAAGTGGAATACATGCATCTTGAGGGAAGCTGATGGATCAACGATATTATTATAAGACACCAGACCATCTAGAGTTACATTTTGAGCGCTGAAGACGAAAGGAAAATGACAAGTGCAAGTGCTGCAATCAGTAATGGTGTTTGCGATACAATGAGAGAAGATCTTCAATTACCGAGTAGAGGGCAAAAAATCTATGCTACCTGCTAATACCCCGTCACGTTCACCATTTGCGATTACACCTTCCTTAACAGCACAGCTATACCAGCCGTCATCCCAGCAGCGGCAACTGCTCAGACAACAGCAACAGTATCAATATCTGCAACGACTATACAAATCTATTTACCCTATGCAGCAAGAAGAATAGCGCCTGCACTAGCATCGTCAAGTATATATAAGAACCCTTGTCCCGTGTTAATGTTAATATCCCCAAAAAAAAGAGCACGACGAAAAACCATTACAAGGGAAACTCCACAATACTGTGTACATCCCTAGCTACATAAACAGCAACTATTACCGTGACTCTACTTAAATAATACTACAGAAAGCATTGTAACTTCAATTATTTTTTCTCACAGTTAACCTTTGCTACCTTGATCATCACAAGAGCGCGGCTTTATAAAAGCGCAATGCCTTGACCTAAAAAAATAGTAATTGTTCCCTAGAAATATTACCATGATAGTGTTACCCCGGGAACCACCCATAACAAATAAACCAAACATACAAAAGAACCACACACCAAGCGGCAATCAGAATACAATACGTAACTACCGCAGCAACCGCAGCAACTCTACAACTCTCTTGCACCCCCAAATTATCAAAAGGAACAACTATAAATAGAACGAACCCTTTACTTTGTAAAGATTCGATGAACAGCTTGTTGAATAAGAGCATTACTGCAGCATCCGCAGTAACAACAACTACCGCAGCATCCGCAGTAACAGCAAGTTACCGCAGCATTGGCGTTGCGCAGCAACCGCAGCAACTGCAGCATGAATTATCTTAGACATTATTAAATAGCCAGAAAGATATAAATACCCCATCATTTTTATTTGAATAAAGACATTGAATTTCTACCTCCCACTTTTGACTTAACTTTTCAAGTGTTGTTTTCAATCACTCAAGACCTAAACACGGCTTGTTTTATCTTACATATTGTTTATTGCTCATAACTGAAGCTAAATAAACTCTTCTATTAAGACCAGACGTAACATTCCTGCTCTTATTTCTCATTTACTTGGACAGACGTAACATTCCTGATCCTTATTCCTCATTCATTTTGGACAGACGTAACATCCCTGATCCTCATTTCTACTCACTGAGCTTAATCAAGACAACAGCTCCCTACTATTTACAACCTTGGACATAACCGATACACATTTTTACCTTACTTTACACTCATATCACTTCACAACCCGTCTGTAATAAACGATATTATTACTGGTGCTCACTACAAAACATACACATAAACCGTTACGCAACTACCTGGAATACCCCAAATTCACCGTAACACTATCTTCTTCTGAATTAATCCTGCTGTTATTGTTGTTGTGGTGCCTCCTGTTGTTGTTGTGCTGTTGTAGGTACTGGTGGCTATGGTGAGTTCAATGTAGATGTCTGTGATGGTCATGATACTGCTGCTTCGTTCTTCGGTATCAGTGGTTGTTGTTGTATTCTCATTAGCAGTAGTATCGAAATTGCTGTTGCTGTTACTGTTTTTATTAAGATCAGGTGACGATGATCGGCGCTGCTCAGCCATTTCAGAAAACAGTTCACAGAAGTTTAAAGCATGTATCAATTACTGTTATACATATTAATAATTTTTATATTAACTTTAACTTTTCCCTTATCTAATACAATTTTAAAATTATTACTGATGTAAATTACTCATATTTTTTCCTTTCTACTAAATTGTTATTAGATCTTGATATTTTTGATATTTATATTTTTATTTTAAGATGAAATATTTTAACTTTATAATTACCAAAAGTATAATAATTTAATACACTTCTTCAGCTTTTATTATTTGTTATATAATTTATATTTTCAATCAAAAAACATTTAACCATTATATGATGATAAATAATATACATTTCACCTTTTTTATTATTTCAATTTTAAGATATTTTCTATGTTTTTATGTATTTTTAAAATCTGTAAACGATCTTAGGATAACTCCCTAACAGCAGAAGAAGAACTACAACAGTAAGCAGAATACGCACTGTCACTACTACGTTTTCCCAAACGACGCAATGCGGACAAGGGTGACGAAGACGATGTATTAACAGCAAGTGCTGGGAGAGCTGAGAAGAGGAGAAAACGCACGCCGTCACCGTTGCCATCATCGAAAGCATCTCCAGAAAAGACCATAATCAATCCTAGCAATCAAATATCGACTGAAGAAGATGATCAGCCAAATATGACATTGACTGAAAGCAAACATCGAGTACAACGCCGTCAGTTGAGCATCCAAGAGCAGGACCATTTGTCAACAATAATGGCTCAGATTCGTCAGACGAAGAGACGCATAATAATGGAGAACAGATAACAACAACAACATCAGCATCACTGCTATCCGGTGACGAGCACCGCCATTAATCCTCACCTGATCATAACAGAAACAGCAACGACAACAGCAATTTTGATACTACTGCTAATGAGAATACAACTACAGGCACTAATACCGAAGAAGCAGCAGTATCACGATCTTCGCCAGCATCAACATTGAAATCATCATTGGCACCAGTGCCCACAACAACACTTGGCACAACAACAGCAGAAGAAGAAGAAGAACAGCAAGCATTGTCACCGCCACCTTTGCTCAAACGACGCAATGCGGACGAGAATGATGAAAACGATGAATTAGCAGCACGCGCTGGGAGAGTTGAGAAGAGGAGGAAACGCACACCGTCACCGCTGCCATCATCATCGAAAGCGTCTTCGAATGCCTTTTCGCGTCCGCGTTGTTCATACTGACCCCCTCTTCACAAGACATGTGTCATTTGTTATTGTTGCTGTTACTATGTTGTCCTGAATATCATGAATAGTACATAATCCTTCAATATTAGAAAGGGGTACCACTATTATCTACCATGGCTGTTCATACTGGTGGTACATATGATATGTAGAAAAGTGCTTGCAACATCATCAATAGGAGACAGGAAAGAAGGAGTACTGTAATGTATCGTGAAGATTTAGCACCATTTATAAAATTAACGCGTGATGTAGTATTATGCTTAGCCAAGATGCGCTCGACTTATAGGCGATTCTACTACAAACTCTTTATTTTTGTAGAGAAAATTGAAGGTTATTATGCGTGTGATGATCATAGCAACCTCCTATCACATTTTCACTCCCTTAATTCTACTGCTACCTTCTGCCCTCCTAAGCACATTAATACATGCCCAAGACAAAGCCAGCATGGTGTGTGTCATCGTGTTTATAGTAGTAGCAGTAGCACAATTAAGTTTTCTCTTAACTTTAGCACCGAGGTACCCCCTTATTTTATGCCGATCACCCATGTTAGCAAAAGAGAGGAAAAAACGTGGGATCTGCACATCAAAAGGGATATTACCAGCTACAATGCATGATTCAGCAGAAAAACTTAAAATAATTGGAAAGGGTAAAGTTGAATGCAAATGATGATGGTAAGAAAAGTTATTATTATGCTGGTGTTGGTGTTGTTGTTGCCCTTTTCAAATGATGAGCTGGATGCACAAAAAAGTAAACAAAGAAGATAGGAAAACACGCATACAAGTATAAGAAGAATAGTTCGAATGATGATGAAGTTTTTTTAAAAGAAATAAGTGAGAATGGTTGTGTGCGTGTGTGTGTACGTGTGAGTGTACGTGTTGTGAGTAAGAAGATAAGGGGAGACAAATAGACAGAAAGTATGATGGATGATATTAGAGAAGGGGTTATCAAAATAATGTGGAGTGTGCGTGTGTGTGTTTGGAGAAGAAGTAGATGCGCATGTGGATAAGTGACTCTTTTTCGTTCCCCACTTATTCGTTAAGGGTATCTCAGGTTAAGAGAGAGGAAGGGAGTAAAGACTTCACTCTCTCTCCCTCAATACGCTCACTCTGTCACGCACACACACACACACCAGCAAGTAATTACGATTAACGATTATTAATAATAACATTTAGTAAGGTGGTGGTGGACCGTAGCCGGCATTTCCTCTAATAAAGTAAACACACAAATTAGAATAAGCTATTAGCCAAATGCTATACTCCTCGTCCTCGACAATTGGCCCCCCTCCCTCTCCACAAAATTACAACCCCCCGCCCCGCATCCCATACTATAATCCATAAGATAATAATTAAAACGTACTCTCGATCTCGCTTCAACATGCCAACTTCCCGCCGTAATGCATTAACTTCATTTTCCATCTCATAGTCGCGACGTTTGAGCAAAGAGATATATTCAACAGCTATACACACAAACACACACACAAGAATACCATCATTAGCCTATATCCTTGTTATATAACAGACACAATTTCAAAACTTGACTTTACCCTTGCTCAATATCTCCCATTTACTTGTCTTGAGATTCTTCTCCACCGGGAGTGAGTCACGCAACTCATCGAATAACTCCTTCATTTCCTTTCGCCGTTTACGTTCTGCCAATTTATGGCTTACACGGAGCTCAGGACTGCGCGAGTAAGGTGTCTCGCCTTTATGAGCCATGGCTGACTTGTCATCTTCAATGGCGCCATGATGATGGTGATGGGGAGGATGAGCGTGGTGGTGCTGTCCTGCTGCTGGTGCTGCTGCCCCGCTGCTTGCATAGCTGTTGTGATATCCTCCTTCGTGTTGCATCGCGTCATGATGTCGATGCATACTGCTGCCCGGGTGGTTATGTTGAACGTGATGGTGATGGCTGCCCTGCATCCCCACCACAGGCATAGAAGCACGTCTGGCTAGTACTGGCCCTGATTCGGCTCCTTCATCCATAAGAATTGACCGGCGTCGGTGATGAAGCAAGGGCCCGCCTCCTCCTCCGCCAGTGGTACTGTTACTATTGCTGTTACTACTGCTACCATTTGTTGTTGTGGTTGTTGCATAAGGATGCCCAGCAGAAGACCGCTGAAGATATTGATAATGGTGATCGTTGCCTGACGACGAAGCATATCGGCTGCCGTGGCGAGGGTATCTTTGTTGTTGTTGAGCGTCACTCAAAGAAGAAGCTGTTGCTGCTGTCGATGAAGACGACTGTGAATGATCAAATGACGAAGGGATATTGCCAGAATTGGGTGGACTTGAAGGTGCTGAGTACGGGCCATGGTTTGGTGTTTCTGGAATCGTAGCAGGAAATCGGAATGCTTTTCAACGTAACAAAAGAACCCATCAGTAAATGTTTTCCTTATCTCCATACTGTGCCCTCTTTCTTTTGTAATCATGCAAATGTACCTCGATATTTTGAGCTTGACCCAAGACGATTGTTGGGTGGGACCTCAGCTGTGGCTATGGAATGGCGCCTTTGGAATGGATCGTAGGCTTGTTGTGATGTCTGTGCTACTCCAGGATGGGGCAGCGAGTCTCGTCGAGCAGACAGATAATCTGACTCGTGGGCGAGCCCCCTCTTTGCAAATGGGGATGGAGAAGGGGAACGCGATGAGTAGTCGTAGTCGGTGACGACCGTGGCCATCGAGCCTCGTCGACTCGCACTGGCTGAAGACGTGGGCAACGGCAGGTTGTTTAGATCTGTGATTGACGGGCGACGAAAATCCAACGGTGGTGCTGTATTACTGCTGCTGCTACTTCCGTTGTTGTTGTTGTTGTTGTTGTTGTTGTTGTTGTTGCTGTTATGGAGCATGGGGTCAGTGACCGATCCTCTCCGTGGATATGATTCGTAGTAGGATTGCTGAGTAGATTGTTGATGTTGTTGTTGCTGCGAGCCAGGTTCCAACGGCAAAAATCCTCGTCCAGGCATATCATGCGCAGGTGACATGGCCCTAGGACTTGCCGTCGTCGTCGGGCCTCGTTGGTTGTGGTGGTGGTGGTGTTGAGGTGGCGAAGGCACCGACGAAACGCTCATATCCGACATTCTATGTCGAAGGTACTCATCCGACATGTGGTTATTGTTATACTGTTGTTGCTGTTGCGAAGAGGGTGAGGAAGCACGAGGGATGGGTGAACATGGCTGCGCATTGGTAATAGACGGCAAAAGCGGCTTTGTTATAGAGTCTAGAAACAATATTAATCAGCCTCCATGGAAGAATTCTTAAAAGAGAAAAGGTTTCCATGACAATTAAACAGAGCAAAAAGTCTATTTTTTAAGCACCTTGATCATTATGGTGCAAAGGTTCTCTTGAATTCGAGGATTCGTATGGTTCGTCAATTTGCATCTTGTCTACTGAACTGGGTTCGTCCCCAACAGCAGTAGACGGGGCGGAGGAGGAGGAGGAGGACTTGGAGGTCGGGTGATCGTCGACATGCAGCAGCAGCTCTCGAGCAGACGGCAGCATGCGGCGTGAATCTTCAGGATGCGCAGTGTCCATAAGATGAGACGATTATGATAAGCGAACAATAGCAGTAAGAGGATGTATTTGGTTCAGGAAAAAGAAGGAGAGAAGAGAGAGAGAGAGAGGAAAGACGACGACGAAGTTTTGGGTCACCGAGTTTTCCGAACAGGGACAGCAAAAAAAAATATTGGGTGGGTCGCAATTTAAGGGGGCGAAACAGCTACAAAAGCTTTCTTTTTCCATGCTGAGATGTGGGAATCGTACCTCTGTGCTTTCCCCTCACGCTTCAGTTACTCACTCACTCACTCACTCACTCATTCACACACACAAACCACATACTGGACCTCCCCCCCCCCCGAGGAAATACTCTCCCTGCTCATAAAGCAAAATGCACGAGGTTCCCATTCATGCAAAATGGCTTCTGCTACTGCTATTGCTATTACCAAGTAGTACTGTCTGTTATCATTATTGTTATTGCATGTTATCACATAGGTCTGTGTCCTATTTCCATAGTAATCACGGTGCAGAAACTCACAGCCTTCCACCATGGATTCCATACGCTCATGCTAATAACAGACCCCTTCCATCCTATATTTCCCCTTTTTCTTTCTTTCGTCTTCTTCTTCTTCTTCATACACTTGGTCTCCTCTGCATCCTATTGCATTCTTCATCATCTACCCATCCACCCATTCTTTATTCGACTGCTCTTACTCCTTGAGCACGCGGACATATTCCACCGCTTTGTTTAAGGCCGCGCCTGTTGTATTGTCTGTTGTGTGCCTGGATTTACTGACAACCATCTCTTAAAAACGTTGCGTTTACTAACAGTTGAGAGCTGTTGTTAATTATTTCTCTTATATATCTGGTATCGTGTAGTGTGCAGCTGAACAACACAACTTGATATGTAAAGTTAATATTCGAACAACCATATGCTCAACTATGATACGGCCGTCGTAGTATATAACATTGACGTGGGAAGCCAAACACGGTTACAAACAAAACCTACTCCTCCTGTTTATATGCTCAAGGAACGTCAATGCGTATCGTTCAGTGATGAATGCTTCAGCATGCCATGTGCCAACAATGTCATTCCAAAGGTAGAATTTACTCCTTAGATTGTTAAATTATTGGCTCTCTCTCTCTTTAAAAGTTTTAAAAAAGTTGCCTTGATTTGAGATAACAATAACAACAAGCACGGGATCCATTCTCAACGAGTCATATGCACAAATGTCCTGCATGAATTTACGAAAACGTGCAGCAAAAGAATAATTAAGAGAGACGAATACGCACTTTCCTTTCCTGTATTCACTTGCTATTTTTGTCACCATCGCTACTTTTGGTTTTTTCAAATCTTTTCAAGACTTTGAGTGGTGGGATCATCGGTAGTTGTAAGCACCAAAACTCAAAAATAGAAAACCCATACATATTCTATAATGTGATGGGCCGTCTCTTATTGCACAGCAGCTTAGAATGATCATGTAGGGTCCAAAGGAAAAGGGGACTGACTGCAGGTCCAACGACAAACTAACAACAGCTACCACTAGAACTCTTCTCCTGTGATGCAACGTCCTGCATAAGTTTGAACAATAATGTATCATAGCGTTATCTACCGACTTGCTTTCTCTAATTTCTGGCTCATCGTCATCAAATAAGTAGTGCAAATAATAGACAGAAATACACTCTCCTGGCAACAATGTAATTTTGGAAACGTGTCGCTGCTCGTTTCAAAGACAACTGCACATGGTAACAGAGTACCACATGGTGCTTGGTGGATTGATGCGACTGCACAGATCGACGTTGATGGTTAGAATGATTGGCGCAGACACAGACGTATATTGCTCAAGCTAAAGGTACAAATCCGGCGTCATCATCCATCCCCATCCATAGTGTTGGCTACTGTAGTATGGAGCCGTAGTAGCAGTATATCATCGCAGTTCTTTCATGTAATTCGTGTATGCAACAAGTATTTACACATGTTTCAAAAATCATAAAGAACATGTGTGTTTGTCTCTAGTTGTGCGTACCAAAAATCATCATGACGGATCAGCCTTGCACACAACAACAGCTTATTTTCAGCTAAATCATTGCAGGGATCGTGACTTGCCATACTTGGCGAATCTCTACGATCGTCTTTTGCTTTGTTGTCGTGTTACTCACGTCCTTTTTAAACACCACTCCTAGAGTTTCATTATATAGCCCACTATCTATACCTATCTTTTAATACTTTTGAATAATAAACTGCTTATCGCTGTTTGATTATTAAAATAAATTATCAGATCCATCGTATGAATATCTTTTAGCATAATGCGATCGGCGAGCATTTTATGCAAGTAGATTGTGGTTTGCATTTACCCACTCTCTATTGTTGCTACTTTAGCACGTGGCATCCTCATTGTGCTCATCCTCGTGCTTATTTGCTGTTGTGTAGGACCAAGGTAAATAAGCTCCTAATTCGTTGTTATGAGAGGCAAAAAGGAAATGCTTGACATAAAAAGAAGAGTTATACGTGGCGTCGGAAAGTAAAAAGCTTTGATCAACGTGTACTGTATTTTTATTAGTAAATTTTTTTTTCATCCAAGACTTAGTGGCCTTGCGGAAGTGGTCGCTTCATCCTTACGGTACAATTAGGAGGAAGCGAATGATACTGTAACTGAGAAACACCCGTAAAAACAAGTCAGGATTGAGACGAAACAGTGATACTAGATTGGTCTACTACATATTGCTTCAGATTAGTAAACGAAACACTTTTTTGCTCTTGACAGAGAGATGTAAAGGTAATATTATGTGAGCGGTACGGCTCTGCTCAAGGGACAAAGGTTAACAATCAACAAGCGGTAAGACCGCCTAAAGTACGAACAAGTTTATCTAAGAATATCGGAATAATGGAGCTCTCATATGAATGCTGGACTGCTTACATTCTAGACACACACATATCCCATACTAGGTATCAGAGTTCCAAACGTTTGGTTTTCTGCAGCATAAAACACGTTCTGCTCTACTCTATACAAAGTTTTCTGTGCGTGGGACTTGAGGGGGACACTGCTGGGCACTCGTTCAAGCAAAGTAAGACATGCTGTTTCTCCTTCAGTAAAGGTATCTTCTTCAGCAACACAACAAGTATATATATATACTTTTTAATAATACTTGTTGCCGGTTCTTCCGCACTACCTGTTTATTTTTTGAATGTGTGTGGTTTTTATGGGAAGAAGAAAAATAAGGAGCCGTTGATTTTGGTGGTGTTGATGATGTGCAAGGCCAAGTTGTAGATAGACAAAAGGGATTGTGTGTACTATACACAATGTTGGTGTCAATTGCAATATCCCTTTCATCTATTATCGTTGCCTACTGTATAGCTCTCGTTAGCCCCGCTTAAGCTGGTGACACACTTTATAGGTTATGCATACACACCTATCTTCTCTCATTAAAAGAGGTAATAGTAGCAGTAGTCCACAGCATGAATATAAATGCGACAAATCCGCTGATCAGCTATTATTAAGTACGGCTAGTAATGTCTGCGACAGTCTGATACATAGGAGGCTTGACCACCTGCTCTGTGTATATGACAATGACATGGCACGCAACATACGACGTTGGTATCGCTATACAGTATGCTCTTGTCGTCAAATGTTTCAAAATGTTGTGTGTGTTTACATAACTTTTTATGTTTCTGTATCCTCTTTCTCTCTCTCTCTCTCTCACACTGTCTATGCCTGTACTCCAGCCTGGGGAGAAAAAAAGAATAAACATAAACAATGAAGGCGCAAGGTTTTGTGGCCCCGTCTTCATTGTGTCGATAACAAGAGGAGACATCATTGGAGACAAGGGAGGATGGATCGCTTAAATATTCTTCATGAATGCTACCACATACATAGTACCAGTGGGTTCGTATCAAGTAAAGAGCAGTAGTAATGAATCTGATGATAATGAGCTGTTATGATATTAACAGCAGCCTATCCGCCCCTCGTACCCTTTTGCACATACACATGTAATGTACTATACTATACTGAACAGCAGCAGAGCAGCAAGACGAACATAGCACGCAATGTATACACTAGTGCACCGTGAAACACAATGGCAGAAGGAGGAGAACTGTGAAAGAACAGGGGGTTGGGGGGCGGACGCGGGCAGTAGCGGCAGGAAAGTTATGGAGGTGTGGAGGAACAGTCAAAGTGTGATCATCATTTATAACGGGCCCATATGGCCCGCCTATTTACTTTTTACCGCTGCTGCCGGTGAATGTGAAATACATATACCTGGAGTCTAACCTTCCCCGCCCCTTTTACACGCTGCCCAACTCTTGTCGATGTACAGTAGTACTCTCCCCACGGTGCGCCCGGGCTGCATTGCCATGCAAGCGCACATGTATATTAAATAGGACGCCGCGTGTTTCTTTATGTGCATACCGCGTTACATGCTATCCACGTCAGCATGTCTAATAACAGATAGCGCACTCACCACACACGCTTGTCAATCATTTTCAAATCGATCCTTTGTTTCTTTGTCCGTCCAGGGGACCCCTTTTCTTTGTGCTATGTTGTGTTCGTATATAGGGGGAGGGAGATGGCTTTTCTTCTGTGGAACACATGGCGTGTAACAATGAAACTTTGTGACACTTCCAAGCGAGACGTTGTTTTTTCCTTTCTACTGTTGATGGATGTATCGTTAAAGAAGAAAGAAATGGCCATGCTATGCATGTAATGCAATGCAGAGTCTAAGATGGATTCACGACAGCGATAACAGCGACTTCCAGAGGAAAGGAGGGGAAAGGTTGTGATGTGATTAGGTTGAGCATCTACACTTTGATTAGCCCTTGACTGCTTAGCATGTTTCCTTGCTTGCTTGCTTTGACATTCGTTCTTACTGTTACTTACACATGCACACAACGACACGAGTAGTCTGATAGAGATGCAGACGATGCGACACTTTATCAGTTCAGTTCAGAGGAAAAGAAGGACGGTGATGTGGGTAACCCACAAGTGTGATGTGTGCGCACCCACTTTGAGGTTGCACGGACACCATAGTGGGTTCGTCATGTGTTTTGGGAAAGAGTGGTTTAATCACAGCATATTGCAAGCAAGGACAAGATGCTTGCTTTGTTGTTGTGCTACTGATAAACGAGCTTAAATCGAGAGCACTGCATTCTACTATAGCTGTAAGCTTCATCGTCCCACGACACTGCTCGTAATAAAGTGACAGTTGTCTTGACATCGTTAGTACTAGAGCAGCCTATAAAGAACCGTCGTACATATGTGACAAAAGAGGAGCTGTTGTTTTGAAAGGAGCTCAGCACAAGAAGAAGAAGAAGTAGCTTTATTAAAACAAAGGTTGATGTGCGGGACCATCTCTGTCTTGTGCACCGGATGCAAAGACAAATGGGTTAGACCCGATTGCAGCACAAAAAAAAATATAACGAAAGACCTCTTTTTCTTTTTTTCTTTTTTCTTTTAATAAACTTTCCTTCTTCTTTACTTTTTTTCTTCACTCATCAAACACAAAAAAAAGACCCCCCAGTCCAATGCCAGAAGCCACGAAAACGAGACGAGCGTCTTCCTTGGCAAATGCAGGCGTCCCATCCTCAGCACCCAAGATATCCACCACTCGAACAACGACACGCACGTCACCAACAGCCAGTGGCACCAGAGCAACGACTGCGACAGCGCCTGGTCGTGTCACAGCTTCGGCAGCTCGGAGTGGCACTACGACAGCCCCCTTGAGAACGAAGCCTTCAGGTACAGCAACAACGGCGACCACCGGTGCCCGTCGCCCATCCGCTGCCACGGGCTCGTCACCTTCAACGAGTCGTGTCAGAGCTACTGCTGCTGCTGCTGCTACTGCTGCTGGTGAAAGAACTTCTTCATCTACAGCAACCGGGGCAAGGCGGACCTCCACCGCAGGTACAACGACGACGTCAGCCACTCGTCGGCCTTCAGCAGCAGTAGCAACGACCCCAGGCTCAAGTATCAGCGCAGAGTTCAAGGCAGAAATTAAATCCTTGACAGAAAAGGTAAAACCCTTTTTTGAATGTATTGAGACTTACTAGTGTGTGAGAGAAAGGCAAATGAAGAAATGGAGAGGGCTGAAACTCATCTCCACACTCGTTCTTACAACAACAACAACAACAACAACCCCTCTCACAAACATAAATAACAATAGAATGAAGAAACCAACAAGACCCTGAAAGACAAACAGACACAACTCGAGGCCCGAGAGGCTGAGCTCGAGGAGATCAAGGCTGCCAAGGCCGACGTACAGAAGCAACTGGACGAACAACAGGAGATCTTGGCCAAGCAGACCGCCGACCTTCGTGCGCAAGTCGACGCGCTGGAGAAATCCAATCAAGAACTCACGACCAAGACGGAGGAGGCGGCTCGACAACACGACCAGCTATCCAGCGAGAAACAGCAAGAGCATGAAAAGGCGCTCGAAGAGCTCCGTGAAAGCATGGATGATTTGCGCGACAAGCTGGAGGAAGAGAACAAGCAGCTGGAAGAGCAGCTGATTGTCAAGGAAACCGAGATCCGGAAACTCAAAAAGGATTTAGATGAGCTTCGTGACAACGTCCAGGTATTGTTGCTATGTATGCACTGGGCTATGCATGGTCTGGATGGGGAGAGTTTGTGTGGGCACCAGAGCCAACACCAAAAGGCTCGGGAACCAAAGCTTTTATTTTTTTATAATTTTCCATTCACTGTCGCCGTGTGTATATGTATGTAGGAAATGCATAAATCGCATCAGACTCGGATTACCAATTATAGTAATCAGCTGAACCAGCAACATGCAGAGCAAATCGATCAACTGCGGAAAGAGTATGAAGAAAAGCTGGCCGAGTTGCAAAAGAAGCTTCCCGACGACAGTGTACAGGCTGTCTTGGAAGAGCAAAAGGCTACGCTCGAGGCAAAGCTAAAGGTGATCACCCGTACTCCAGCATAATTATAGAAAAAGTCATCACTAACAGAGGATTTGCACTTACTAGGATGCGGAAAAGGCGACTGCTGATCTAAAGCAAGACTATGAGCTCAAGCTAAAGGGACTACAAGACGAGCTGAACAAGCAGACCAATGTGCTCAAGACGGGTCACGAGCAGGGTGTCCAGAAGATCATTGACAGTCACCAGGTAAAGATGATGATGATTGTTATCGGGTGATCCGGACGATCCATCCCGCTAAATAATGACCTGTCGTCTAGGACGAGCTCACTACGTTACGCAAGAACCACGATGCAAAGATCAAGACGCTTGAAAAAGAACACGCTCGGATCCTTGGTGATGCTCGACAACAGCTTGACCAGGCAGCCAAAGCGAAGGCTGAGCTTGAGGTAAGCTCTGCTCCCAGTTGACGGAACCCCCCTCCCCCCCTTTCTCCAAAAGCTTGATTAACCAGTTTTTCTGCCATGAACATGCTGTAAAAGGCAACACTGGAAAAGCAGCACACCGCTTTGGAAGATAAGCACCAAAAGGAGCTTAGTAATGCCAAATCCGAACAAGAGTCCAGGATTACACGGCTGCAAGAAGTCAACCGGCTGGCCATGAGCCAAGTTGCCACTCTGCGTGCCAAGATCGGAGATACAAAAATCGAAATGGAAAGCAAACTGGCTCAAGAGCGTACCAAATCCCAAGTAAATGCTCTGTCACATTCTTCTAAAGGGCGTATATATATATATATATAAATACGCATAAAACTTAAATTAGATAGAGTTCAAGTGAAAGAGGGTGGCAGATGTATATTTAGCTATACTTTAAAAGGCAAGTTTCTGACATGTGGTACATTATAGAAACAAATGGAACAGGAGCATGCTGCAAAGCTCGAAGCACTGGCCAAGGAGCACGCCTCCGAGCTAAAGCAACAGGCCGAGTCGCACCAGGACACATTGCGTCAGCAGCTGGAGCACCATGAACGTGCGATGGAACAACTGAAAAACTCCCATGACAAAGCAGCGGAAGCATCGACACGTAACTCAGCAACGGCACAGACCCGGGCCGACACCGAGCAGCGTCTGAGAGCGGAACTGGAGCAACAGGTTGACAAGCTCAAGGCCGAACACCGCCAGATCATTGACCAAATGCAAGGGCATCATGCACGTAGCATTGCTCAGCTCGAAGCCACATTAAAGCAAGAAGCAGACAAACACGCCAAGCTGACTGAGCAGCACAAGCAGGAGCTGGAGCGCTTCAACGCAGAACGAGTGGGCGATGTTGCGGAAATCAGAAAAGAAGTCGAGGTAATAATTTAGCATCCCCACCCCCCTCTCGAGGAGAGATACAGTAATTTCACATGCTATTTCGTTAATTCACAAATTACCATACAGTCGGCCCTGAAAGACATGCATGCCAAAGACTTGCAGCAATTAACTGCGGAGCATGAGTCAAAGATGAATGAGCTCAAGCGTGAGCATATCCTGCAACGGGACCGCGAGAAGGCAGCACAGCAAGAACAATGGAAGCAGTGGACCAATGAGCGACAGAAGGTATGACGTTCGACAGCGAATGCGATTGCGTGATTTTTCTTTTTCTCTATCAGACTTTTGTTGTGTGCACGCATGCTCAATTAGTGTTGTCCTCCTTTTTCCATTTAAAATGCCGCATTGTCGATGGACAACCATTGGCGCAGCAGCAGCAGCAACCTCTTGAAAAGTCTAGAACGAACAGTGCAGAGGTAAATACTATAAGCAGCGATTAAAATGACAACGTGCATGTGATATATGGCCAAGCCATATTTGGGTCTGGCGGGGGAGGGGTGGGTGGAGTTTCGGTGACGTAATTATGTTCGTTTATAATTAATATTGTCTAATAGGGCATCGCCATCTTTACTCCCTCGGAGCATCAACAGCAGCAGCAGCTTCAGACAAGAGAGGAAAGCCAAGAGAAACAACAACAAAAGACAAACGCTGGTACCACCGCTAAAACGGCTGGCGATGGCGATGATGTGAGTTTTTCCTAGTTCCGTCACACACCCCCCCCCAACCCCGATACCTATTAGATTTTGTACCACACGAGCGCCAAAACGAGATAAAGTGGGACTAGAAGATTTGCATATCGTCTCTCGAAATGCGATGATTCAAACCTTGTGGCTATTATTTATAGACCACGTATATCACGCGACAGGAGCACGAAGCATTGATCAAGCAATTGCAAGACAAACACGCGCATGAGTTGTCAACAAGGACAGCAGCAGCAGCAGCAGCAGCAGCAGCAGTGCTGTCAAAGGAGCCGCATCATGGCCATGATGATGAGGATGATGATGAGAGTCGTGGCGGAGAAAGGATTGAAATGGCGCCAGCGGAAAAGATTTCCGAACAGGAGGGTGGTGAGCGGTTGCGCCAAGAATACCTAAAGACCATCGAGGCATTGCATGTGGCGCAAGAGCAGGCCAAGGTAAACTCTAAAAAAAAAGCACCCTTACAAGGTGTCTGTGTCTGTGTCTGTGTTCCCGATTGAGATGAAAAGGGTTACCGAAAGAGACGAGAAAGACAGGCTGATGGACAGAATACAGGGCACAGAGGAGCAGCATAAACAGCGCATTTCCAGCATGGTGGATGCGCACGCAGCAGTCTTGGCAGGGTTACAAGAGCAAATCAGGAATGCAGAGGCCAGGCGTCATAAGGAAATGCGCATGCAGCAGAGTGACACGATCACGGCGGAACTGGAAAGCATGGCCGCATCGCTGGCCGAATTGCTGGAGGGCAAAGAAGACACGGATGCAACTGGCACTGTAAGTGGGGGGGTGAAGTCATTCCAAACATGGCACTCTGCCGGGAAAGGTTGCACCAACGTTACACACACACACACACACACATACCCCATCGTTAAGGGCCCTTTTTCTACTGCTGCTATGCGGTCACCTTTCCTGGACAATAACACACACACACTATTTTCATTTGTTTCACAGACCTCAAAGAAGGAACTGGCGGCCTTGCAGACTAGGTTTCAGGACCTCATCCAATTGACAATGGGCACCTGCTCTCTTCCTCCAGGCGGGCAGCAGCAGCAGCAGCAGCAGCAGCAGCAGCAAGACAAGACAGGCTTTGCCGAGCATCGACCGCAGCCAAGTGCAAACAGCACAAAAAACGACAGCAGCAGCAATAACAGCGGCGGCAATAACAGCGCAGCAGCAGCCACAGACAAAGAGGTAATTAAATTGATTGACAAAGGCAAGGGAGGGGCAATTTAAAAAGCTGATATAACGGAAATAGGTAGCACGGCTCGCGATAGGTCGAGGGCAAGAGGTGTAATTACCAGGGGGCGGGCGATGAAGAGAGAGAGAGAGAGAGAATGAGAGGGAAAGGCGAGAGAGCGAGAGAGGAAAAAGCAAGAAGTATTAGCGCACTGTTCCCCAAACCCTAATTTCTGACGAGGCAACCAATCACAAGACACTTGCGCGCACATATACAAACCACATGCGCTGCTGTCTATTTTTAGCTAGTTTCACATTAAAAACAAAAAAAAAATGCTATTTTTCCTTTATATAAGAAGACGCTACATCTCCCCCTTCAGCCCTTTCTCCCCCCAACCTTTTTTTTTTCCTTTTCGTGGTATAACTTTATCTGCTAGACTATCGAATCAAGCACACACACACACACACACACACACATATTAACAGCCATATAAATTAGCCTCTTTTTCAACCAAAACATAAAGCACAAAGAGTTTCCATGCTAAATGAAAGCTTTCCACGCAAATTCAACGACTAGCAACAACAATAACAACGATGACCACCAGCAACAGCAGCAACAACAACAACAACAACAACATCCTCATCGTACCCCACAACGATTAAAGCGCACCAGGGCTAAACGGAGCTGTGATTTTTGCAGAAAACGAAAGTCGCGATGTGATGCCGATACTTCAATTCCTTGTTCCAATTGCAAAGCAGTACGTCCTCTTTCTTTCTTTTTGTAGTCGCTTAATAATCCTGTCAGAGAACAAATCGAGATAACATCTTTTTATCTTTTAAATGGCGGCGCTGTAGTGGGGACACACATGCGAGTTTCAGACTGTTCGAAAAAAACGAGGCCCACCTAGTGTGTATGTCTCCCCTTTTTACTATTAGTTGTCTATTTGGCAAAGCAAAGTATCTTACTCACTAATAACATCATGCATGTATGTCTATTAGCTATGTGGATAATCTCGAGAAACGGTGCAAAAAGATGGAAAAGCTTTTGACTAGCTTGACCAACGCATCGATCAAGGAACTCGAAAGGAACGATTTTCGATTCAATCAGCAGCAACAACAACAACAACAACACCGTGGCATACTGACGGCGTCTTCGTCTGTCGCTTCTGGTGTTCCTGCTACTACAAAAAAGAATAAGAAGGGCAAAGCACGAGCTACTACTTCTCAGATCAGCAACGACAACAGTAGCAATGACGATGTCGACGATTCATTGGAATCCTTTTCCAGTGATGAAGACGACGATGACATTGTCTCGATTGAGAGTCAAGTCAGTGACAGCAACAATAACAACAACAACAACCCGACACTAGAAGAACGACTTTCGAATTTGGACATCAATGATTATGACACTATTACGTATACCGGCCGATCTGCTAGTATGGATTTGCTCAACACGGATCTGTTCAGGTTCAGACCTTTTGTTCCATGGCCCGGCCGTAACGATGTGGCCTTGCAGTTGACGGCCCAAAATGAATTGATGGTTGTCAGATCTGTTCATGATAAATCTTCTTCTTCTTCTTCTCCTTCCACGACGCGTTTGGATATTGGTTTGTCCATGCGCAGTGGTGGTGCTGATCTCTCAGCTACTACTACTACTACTACTACTACTGCTACTACTACCGCTGCTAGTGCTATTAAAGAATACGATGGCAGTGACGTTATTACGCCACCTTCAAAAGAAGAGCAAGAGAAAATGATTGCCTTGTAAGTTTCCATCCAACTGTTGTGTAAATAATCACTAGAAACATTAAACGAGTGTAGAGAGTGTGTGTGTGTGTGTTGCAATGTATGAAAAGTAATATGATATCGAGATCTCACCTTGTATTTTTTATGTAGCTTTTTCGAGCACTTGCACTCATTCATGCCCATCATCAACAAATCGCGCTTCTTGTCCGCAGAGCAACCACCCAACATTCTTGTCCAAGCCATTCTCGCCCTGTCGTTTCGCTTCATCAGCCAGCACGAGCCAGCCATCAACCCAAAAGCAGGCGACTATGCTACCATGTACTTTACCAAAGTCGCCCGGCGGCTACGAGACCCCGTACGCTCGCGTCTTTGCCACGTCCAATCGGCCGTACTGATGACACTGTATCTCGACATGGACGACGGGGACGATTCGATGCAATGGTATATGCTCGGTACCGCTATCCGTATGGCACAAGATCTAGGCCTACACCGCTCTTGTTCGCATTGGAAAATCTTGCCTCAGGCCGAGATTGAAACCCGCCATCGATTGTTCTATGCCTGCTACGTGTTGGATCGCTGGCTCAGTGCAAGAGCTGGCAAACCATTGACGATTCTGGACCGTGATTTTGATACGCCCATGCCAGCCAACAACGAATACCAGGCTTTTGCCATCATGATCAAGCTATCGGAAATATTGGGTCGCGTGCTAAAAGCATTGTATGCGCCCAAGGCGAAGCATTCCAATGCAAATGCAGGACTTGATGATCCTACTGTCATTGATGCGTTCGACAGAAGGCTCAAGTCGTGCAAGGCTGCCATGGAAACGGAATTGCCATTCATACAAAAAGGTGAGTTTAAGCAAGTAGAAGCTGATACGAGCCCCTACATGGACATGACCAACACTCAAATATTTTTTTTTTTAGCGTATCTCGACATATACTATCATACCATCCTGTTACTCCTGCACCGACCGTTTATGGCCCAACAGTTATCGCAGCAGATATGTACGCATGCAGCAACGACGATTATGGATCTGACGCGTCAAATACGACAACAGCAGCCAAAGACGATTCAATACTTTTCGCTGTGTATGCCAACCTGTTTCGTCTATGCCTTGTTCCAAGCAACACTCGTCCATCTGTCAAACGCCGTTCGCGATCCAACCATGTTTGAAATGTTTCAACAAAGCGCCATGCTGATGCAACACTATAGTCATTTGGTGGTTGTCCGACGAGCGTTTGAAATTGTGGAACTGTTTCGCACCATGCATGCACCAGCAGTTGATGCAGCAGCAAAACAAGCAGCCGCAGCTGCAGCAGCGGTTGCTGCAGCACGTGTCGCAGTCAATTACGCCATGCCGTTTCCTCCGGGCATGATGCTAGGTGACATTTACAACGTATCACAGCCACCCACTCCACTTGTTGGTGCCACAACTGGTGCTGCACCTTTGTATGACTGGGCGCCTTTGCTTCCGCAACATCATCATCATCACGCTCACACTCATCCTTCCCATCAACACCATCATCACCATCATCAACAACAACAACAGCAGCAGCAGCAACACGCGCCACAACCACAGCATCATACGCCGATAATAGGAACAGCTGCAGTACCAATGACTGGTGTGGTTGATCCCGCTACTACAACTGCGTCACAACCAGCAACAGCTGATTTGACCAATGTGTTTTCAACATCTTCTTTCCAAGGAGGCTTGATGGACAGTACCATGACACTGACAGATTCACCAACATCTATGCACGCCACGGCTCCTAGCGCCACACCTACTACTGCTCCTCCTCCTCCTTCCGCTACGAACAACAGCAACAACACCAGTGCCACTCCCTACCACGCTAACTCAACCTCATCCACCTCTTCCTCATCTTCATCTTCGTTTATCTCGACGCCGCATCCCATGGCAGCCATTCTTCCACCAGCCGCCAACTTGCATTGGACCGATTGGGACGTGTATCTCGACGATCGTTCGTGCCAACAACAAAACCACCCTTCGCAACATCGACCTCATGCTTCTCGGCACCATCATTCCGCTTCGTTCCCTCAAGCATCGTTTCCGCATCATCCTCATCCCCCTCATTAGATAATAGGCTGGCATCCACCACACATTACATCTGATATATCTTTGTTTTTCTCTTGTAAACATCTTTCCCCCCCCCTTCACCTTTCTGATCTTTGCTTTCTTTTGTTCTCGGTTGCTTTTTCTTAGTTGTTGCTTGTACTTTTCCACACACCCCCTCCCTCTCACTTGTCCAAAAAATATACACTCATTCTTTCAGCTGGCTGCTCTCTCTTTCTCTCCTGTGTTTCTTCTCCCTTCAATCCCTACAATGTCACCTTTTGTATATGGCTTCTTTTCTTCTTCTTTTTATACATTTCAATATATATATATATGTTTCTTCTTCTTCTTTGATATTATGCAATATACCATAGCCTCATCTTTACATAAAATACATTTTTTTTTGACCCTACATGTGCACATGTACTAAACCAACAGTAATCAAAATGACTAGAATCTAGTATAATTTTTACGACACTCTGCCAGCATTGAGCTACTAGTATGTCCTTTTCCTTGATGTCTTGGTTTACCAACTTTTAAATCATATCTGTCGTCAATACATTGCTTCTGCTTCCTTCTATTTGTACATTCAAAATCGTTTAACATGTTTCCATCATTCTCCACAATCCAACTCCTCCTCTACCATGTTTCGATGCTGCTTATATTCTTCAAACAATCACAAAGTCAATGAAGCAAACCTTTGATCCTCGATGCTTTGACCAGGTAATTAATAGCAAAGCCTAACTTCCAGTCAACACGCTTGTATGGGATAAGTACAAAAGCTCATTACGGCAATACGAGACAAGCATTTTGACGGCAGTGACGAGGATGAATACGACAATAAATAAGGGCATACAACTACAGTAGCGACGAAGATGAAGCTGTCGAAAGAGACATTTTTCGTTTTGACTGATTTTTCTGCGTCGCTTACTGCTACTCTGTCGTATGGCACACTACACCTGGTTTTGAAGCCTGCTCCCGGTATATATATATTTTCTCCAAAGCAGGTTTATCGATCAATGGATGACTTAAAAAGAAAGCAAAGTATTACACGCTTGACTGTCTAGCAAAACTTTATATCCCAAGCACAGCACAGCACAGCACAGTGCTACATAGCGTAATGTATATCATCCAATTGATTGGATGTGTTTAACAATGATCGAATGTGTACTATTAATTTGCGACACAACAATGTCGCAGCTCAAGCTGGCATTTCCAGTTTAGTTTGCGAGACTCAATATATATTGCATTGACAATGTGAGCGCACTTTACATCGTGGGACTGGAGTACATACCAGTACGAGTTAAATGTATTATAGGGCTGCTTCGAAGCTGCAATCAAGGTAGATCCATGTCCCGGATTTCTTCTAGCACGTGCTCAGGAAACGCTGCTCTCTCGTATGAAGAAAAGACGGCCTTATACAAAGCTTTGAGTTCGTGTAATACCCTTCTCCCTTTATACCACACATATTGTGGTTTTATGTAGGAATACTGATATTTGCTTAAATTGAAGGTGGTAACGGCCTCATGATGTGTTTGACTGCAAGAGCTACTGATCGGACCTGTCCGTACAAAACTTGTATATTAGTACACGGTTGTCTCCAATCTTCCGCTATTAAGTCTTTTGTGATAGCAGATACGTACATGAAACCATAGACGTACGCTGTCGCTATATATATTTAGTATTATATTAATTATGTTGTGGTTGTTTCTACTTGAATCAATAAAATCATAAAGTGACTAATAGGTATTTACTGTTTTACAAGCGTTGTGGTGAGCTAATATTTCAACACGACGAATGAATGAAATGAAGAATTAACATGATTTCAAAAGCACAAGATTGACATCCGGGTGCTTCTGGATATCAGGTGAGTGTGAACTTGGAGTTGTCGAACTTTGAAAAAGAAGATAGTGGTGGCAAAAACTCGGACGATGGACCAAAACTGGTACGTAAAGCTAAAGATGTCTTAGACAACCTTATCAAGCTACAAGTCTCGAACAACCAGGTCGATTCGCCAATACACTTGATACAATTGACTGGATACAGCGGAGAGTTGTCGATAGTCTATCTCGATCTCTTTATCGACTTATGACACAGCAATGTCTCAAAGCGAACTGGCATTCCCAACTTTGTTCTTTAAAACTTTAAATGCTTCATTGACACTGTGCGCGCTCTTTGTACCATAAGGGATCATATAAAAAAGCTGAAGGACTTGATACTGACTGTATACGGCCGTCAAAATGACGTTGGTGTACCACTTGGAAGACCACTTGACAATGAAGAAAGTTTTTCTACTCAATGTCTCAAGAGAATAATTGGTATACACCTCCCCGGGAACAAAAGTACAAGGTACCTCGGTATTTGTGTTCATACATCTCACCACCATCCGCTTATAATGAGTGACACTTTCGCGCAAGTGAACGGAATGATACGGCAATTCGCAGGAAAAGCAGGCGGCTGTGAAAAGTATCACACCAACTAGTATAGCAATCGCCTATCCCTCAACTTTTGATTTGATTCAATATAACCTTATTGACCATCTGTTGTCTTGAAGCGTCAAAGCTTTAACTTTCCTTCTATATCAGATTATTATTTCGTTCGTAAAACAACAAAAAAAAACCAAGTATTAAATCAGATCTGTATCGAGAATAGTCAACTGTTTCAACCCAAGATTAATCGCGTTTCCCAAAAGTACGTCAAATACACGCAATTGTGGGGTGCTCTACAATGCAAACCAATAACTAGGGTCAACATCATTAACTGTCGAAAGATAGAAACAACATGAAATTGTTGAATATAAAGAGGGCAATTCCGGAAATCCTTGAAATATCTCTGAGCTATATTGCCGAGGAAAGAACGATAGCTTACGAGATCATACGTACTTTGAGCATAATACAATCTACAATTAATTTGATTGGATATTGAAAAGCTCGTTCTTACTTTCAACTGTCGCGTATACTGCTCGAATTGATGATCAAAGTTCGTATACGATCCGCCGGCAAATCAGCGGGCTCCCTTCTTTCCCTACTTTGTCGGTTTCCTTTACACCACCTTTTGTATAATATAAATATGTTTCTTTCTTATTTGAGATTATGAAACATACCCTAGCCCCATGTCTAAAAAATGCATTCGATCCCACATGCGCTGATCCAGTAGTTCGAAAACGGCAAAAGTCGTCTTACGGCAGCAACAAAGAGTGGGATCACGAACCATGGCTCGTTCAGCAACACCGTCGTCTTCGTCATAAAAAGATTAGCCAGCAATCTAAATCATCACCTTCGGCAACAGCAACGGAATCTTCTTTGGCAATCACTAGCAACGGACAAGAACAACAACAACAGCCCCCAAAATTAGGGGTCGATCCAACCCTGTTAGCATCCATTGTAGAGAGTCATGGCGTGACACGTATTCAACGTCTCGCGCAACTCACAGATCTGGATCAACTTGTCTACGTTCTCGATCACCTGAATAACCTGGATTACGACAATGCTGTGACTATTGACGATGAAACTATAATAGAAGCGTGTCGACAAGCGGACGCCATACCCCACCAACACGCCGTTCAATTGTTACGCGCGTTTGTTACTCCTCGTTTGATAAAAGCTGCCACGTTACTACCACGTCAAGTCAGTCAACAGCTATTACAAATCCAAAATCATCGGGCCGTATTGCAAGGGATTATTCTGGAAGTATTATGTCCACTGCAGCAGCAGCAGCAGCAGCAGCAGCAGCAGGATGCTAGTGCTTCAAAGAGTAACAACAACAACAATAACCAGATCATTGTAAAACTCGTACAGCAGTTTTCGCCAGCGCTGCGACATTCATTGATTACGGATATGCTTCAAAAGCGGCCCTGGAAGCAACAAGCTGCAATTATCACGGTGGTGGATAAAGCAATGTCCCAGCAACCCTTATTGACAACATTACCTCTGAGTGAATTACTGCATGCAATCAAGCTGGGTGTTCAGATGGATCCCAAAGCTAAAGGATATATGCAGTTACTGTTAACTTTGACGAGCAAATATGGTTCCTTGTTGGTCTCACATTTGGATACAGTAGAACAAATAGCTCAAACAAGTGACATGTTTTTGAAACGTGCTGTATTAGGCCAAGTAGCATCAATACGAAAGAAACTGACTGAATAAAGAGAAAAAACTATTGTAATATACAATCTTGGCCAGACTTACATGCTTTTATAGTGCGGCATAACTCTGAGGATACCATATAAGCAGCTCTACTATTCTCCAGCTTTGCAGTGAAGTAATTAATGAATGGTGACGCAAATCCTATTAGCCACCTTTCTTGCCCCTGGCGTCAAAAACAAATAGTTTTCCCTCTCCTAATGGTGCACTCGTGCGGAAAAGAAGAACGACAGCCTGTAGTTCAACGGCAGCTTCTGTTGCTATTCCAAGATCATCATCCAAGCATACGTGCGATATGAAGATGAGGAGTAACAGTATACACTGAAATATGTTGGTTAGCCGAATATAACTTTACCCATGTGACGTTTGCTCATAAGACGGTCGAGACGGTTATCCAAGCTGTGCTGAAGTTAAATAATAAGTTTGTGCTCATAAAAGGTAACGAAAACAATTACATAGTTGTTCCTTTTTACACTGTAATACTTTTGGTGAAGAGCCAATATGTCACTGGATGAACTAATTTTACAAATACTGTATATCCAGTACAACGGTCCATGCTGGTTTTCCTTCGATATCTGACGCCGACCTTACAATTTTCCCCTTAGAGCGATAACCGGGAGAGTCGACTGGTGCTATCCTTCCGATCCGCTGGTACACTGTTGTTTTCTGTAAAAAGCGCGGTGCTATAGATATAGGTGCGTTGTCTTTAAGATATAGTGAAGCTCTTGGCATTTTAAACCATTGGATTGCAGTAAGAGGCAGCATATTGCGGTGTTTCAGGAATAACGCTAAGTAAAATAAATACATGAGTTGGAAAGAACCCAATAGTTTAAACCGGTATATGCATGCCAACCTTACTTCTCGACGCCAAAAACAATGCATGAACAAAAACTACACGCGTGAGATTGCCCAACAGTTTCGAAAAAAGTCCAAAATTGGACTCAAAGTCCAATTTTGGACTCCGTCTTTATAATCCATTAAAGAAAAACAAAGGGCGGAATCTGAACGTGTGCCTGTGGTAAACACCTGATTACACTGCCTATAAAGACATCATCAGACTAAGATAAGCGGTTAAACTTCAAAGCGTACACAGCAATTACCACGACACGCAGCTAAGCACTGTAGCATATAAACAACCCATCCGAATTGTGTAAAGCAAGGAAACATTATACTTGGATGATCCACTTATGCGAGCAGTAGCAGTACGATTGTCAGTAAATCATGGATGTGAAAGATTTTACAGTGTACGGCTATAACCCGATATGGACTGACGCGATATGAGGTATAGGCGTATGTCGTTTGTATTTTCTTGGTAAAGAATGGATGTCTTGCCGCGGATATCTTATCAGCAGGATGACTGGGCGTGTATATGTACAGTATTTGATATGGTTAGCGCAAAGTTCCAGTCAGGGATCAAAGGGTCTTTGTACAGGGCTCGGGTCAATCTTGTTTATATTGAAAAAGATGTTTGTTTTGGGTTTGTACCGCGTCGATATTGACCGTTGAACGATATTTTTGGAAATAAAGGTATATTCGCGCAAGGCGTTGATAGGATACACATCAGTTTTTGATTTGGAGTAAATATGTGCTAAATGTCGTAGTTAACGTCTTCACTAAAATCAGTGAGACATTGTAGGTAGTCTCGGCCGTTGTGATGTGGTGTAACAAAAATAAAAAACGCTCTCTTATAGAAGCTATACCCACGGCAATTATCGATTGCCTATCCCTCAATCCCGCATTGATGGATGTGGCTAGCTTAAAGTAGATTGTCAAGAGCAGCATGGCTGTTTCAACATAGTATGCGCGTCCTCCTGGAACTACTATAAATCTATACAAACTGCTTTTTCAGGTTGATATTGTTGCCACCTCCATCCGCAGCAGCGACACAAAGTCAATCTGACGTTGTGTTACTTCCTCGGCGTATGTGTGGGTGATGTATTATTCATGTGAAAAAAAAACAGGATGTTGGCTCGTAGCCTCCGAGCAATTTTTTTCCCTTTCGTTGTGATCGTGTTACTATCGCTACGATACAAAAGATCTGTGCATTGTTAGAACGGACCTGTGAATGGGGGGAGTATTTTTCCTTTCGCAGATAAAAACGGTTTGCGCGAGCTGAACACAATTTTGAGTTTTTCTCTTACTCTCACAACATATTTCTTTTCCTTGCCCTCGATCCGGTGTGCATTCTACAATCTTTGTCAAAAACAAGAACAAATTACGAACTCAACATGTCAACTAGCACCCCCACTACTACAACATCTCGGTCGGTCCTCTGCAATGTATATAAATACATCGGTGAAGATCTTTGGTACGATCAAGGAACTGGTTTTTGTGTCTACAAAACGGTACACGAAGACAATGGCGACGAACACGACGAAATACTTGTCGAAGATTTGATAGATCAGTCCCGCCTTTTGATATCGCAGGTTTCTGAACACAAAGATTATGAGCAACTTGAAGGTATAGATATACAAAGTACGGGGCGATTTGATGACTGGAACCACCATGACTGAATTTGATCTTGATTTGTAAAAAATGGTGCATTTAGAAACTAAGATTCTTTGGACTGAGGATACAGGAGCAAATATACTAGCACTGAGTTTTTTATCGCGCGAGGATTGTGACTATATATGGCACGTTATCGGGATAGAGAGAGGGAAAGAGGGAAAGGAAGAATGTAAAAAGAGTGTGCGAGCGTATGTGGGTCAGTGATGTACAAGAAGCTTATTTTTATCGCCCAAATGATTACAGGAACATGTTAATAAGAGAACGATGTGACACTGCCACCGATAATCGCCCCAGAACAGGTATGGGACAACTGCAAAAGTCGTGTAAAAATTGAAATTTCGTGTGTCTAAACATGTTGTTCTATCTGTATCTTGCACAATGGTTTACGAAACAAAAAAGCTGTTGATGAGATGCTGGAAACTGGAGATAGAACACCACCGATGACGAATGATTTCCAAGACGTAGCTACGCTTCCCATGCCTGAACTATCCAACTTGGACGAAATTACAAGAAGTCTTAGCAGTGCAAAAACAGCACAAGATAAGCATCGACTAGCATTTTTTATTGTACTACATGTAAGTACCTTTATTATGCGGATTGATCTCAGAGTGCTGCTGGGTGCAATGTGTGTAACCTTTTGATTGACTTGTTTTATTGGAAGAACTACATTGATAAGCTGTTGTCCGTATTTGAGTCATGCAAAAATAAGAAAAGCAGAAGAGGTCCGCGTAAGCTGTACACTATCATGAAGTCCATCAGTAAGTTTTCCTTCGTTCTAAGCCTTGTATCGTTCGTGGCGACAACAACAACATCATTAGTTTTATACATGCTGACCTTATGTATTTTTTATATGATGTAGTTTTGTTGAATGACGAAACCATTATTGAGCTCGTAGTTCGTGATGAGTATATAATGGAGGTTTTGGGCATACTTGAATGTAAGCTTTGACAGTCCCCTGGTCTTTCATTGTTGTGCTCTGTATGTATAGACGTGTGGCTGAGCTTAACCTGTCTTGTCATGTGCATACGTTATTAGATGATCCGCAGATACCAGATAAGAAGGCAACACATCGAAGAAATCTAGCAAAACTCTCCCAAATGAAACCAGTACGTGTTGTATATCCAAGCAGTCAAATAGTTCCCAAAAGAGAAACACAGCATAAACCCTTTCTATACTTCTCAATCACTTTTTAGATCGTCCCAATTCATAATGAATGGGTCAATTCCAAGATACAGCAAACTTTGCGGCTACAATATCTCAACGATGTCATTTTGTGCAACACTATCGACGACTCAGAAAAATCAACCCTGCGTTCGCTGATAAATTTCAACAACCTTGCTCTTGTCAATTATTTTAAAGACGAAGAGAACCAGGAGTATTTGCACGAGCTGTTTTATATTTTTAGAGACGAGAAGTCGAGCGATGAAATGAAGAAGGAAGCTTCCAAGTTCGTAATACAGCTCTGGATTATGGCAAAGGAGGATCAGACCGCTGCGCGTGCAGCTCTAGCCAGGTTCGTTTTTTGTTTGTGCGTTCAAACGATTGATTTTATCTTACCTTTACTTCTTAGAACGCTGGCCAAACATGGCATTTTCGATATGTTTCCGTTTGCCCTGTGTGCAGATGATGAGCTTTTGCGTACCCATGCTGCAAACGTCCTTGATTCCATTGTAGAGCTTGACGTATGCCTTTTACGTAAATACACCATTGAACAAACGAGAACAAAAAACGCTGAAGATACTACCTTGGGCACGGTCCTTAAGCGATTTGCACTCGATAACACGGATCCCGGTCTAAAGATACAATACGCAGAAATTATCAAGGCGTCGATGAACTTGGGCAATGGCAAATTGGTGGTAACAAGATAGTGGCCTACTTGACCCGAAAAGAACGTTTCAGGAGCTTTGTAAACTCATCTACAATGCTACTAAATCTATCTTAAATGCTTAGATGCTACGTAAACAAGATCTTGATACTGAAATGTATCTCACTGTATTCTACGAAAGTTATTGTAACCTACTACTGCGTCCCTTTGAACAAGTAGATGTCAAACCGATCAAGCTAGATGGTAAGTTCTTATCTACTACTTGTCAATTATCAGTAAAGAAGCAGGATAGTTATCAAAAACTCATCGTGACGGAATGGTTACTAGGTCCAATAGAAGAGCTCAAACTCACTACAGATCAGTCAGATATATGCTTATACCTATGCGACCTCATTTGCTTGGCTATACGACAACACAGCTTCCGTAGCAAAATTTTAATGCGTTCCACCGACTGTTTTGTCAAAATTGCACAACTGTATCGATGCAAACAATCTCACCTGAAGCTTGGTAAGGAAAAGAGGAAGAGGATACAGCGGCAAAAAAAAAACGTTGTCAATGTGAAATCCAACGACTCACACGTTTATTTGATTAAATAGCGGCGTTGCGCGTATTCCGCACTTGTATCGGCCTAAGCGACAAGTCTTATACCCGACTTCTTATAAAATTCAATGTATTCGAACCGACAATACGAGTGCTTTTGGATACCGATGGCCGCTACAATGCGCTCAACTCTGCGTGTCTTGAGATGTTGGAGTATATAAGGAGAGTAAGTCCAGTAGTGGGGCAGCAAATTTAGCTTTTCAGTGTGTATATCCTCTCATACCACGCTCTTGCAAATGACACAAATCGAATCATGTCTTATTTTTTGGTAACACAGAAAAACATCAAATTATTGGTCGAGCACTTAATAGCAAACTACGGTTCGGTGCTGGACACCATCAGCTATGTAACGACCTGCGAAATGTTACGGTTACGACACGAGCAAAATATCGAGCCAAATGACTCAAATGAAGCTGGAGATGAGGCAGCAAGGTGAGTCGACTCTGTGTTCAACATTAACATAGTACTGAAGCGTGATGCATTGTTGGTTGCTAACGAAGGCAATGAAACTTTACTATGGCAACATAAACAGAGATAACTTGTTACGTGGCAATGGTCAAGACGCTAGTGCAATAGATGATGCAGCGGCCGAAGAAGAGTATTTTAATAACCAATCGTCGGACGAAGAAGAGGATCAGCCAAACAAAGCATTAGCAGAAAGCGCATCGCCGAATGCAACGTCTTCAATTGAACCATCAAGAGGAGGACCGCTTGTCAATTATAATGATTCAGATTCATCAGACGAGGAGATGGATAATAATGAAGAAGAACAACAAACAATAGCGGTATCGTCATCATCATCACCACCGTCATCTGGTGATAAGCGCCGCCGGTCATTCTCACCCGATCACAATAAAGACAGCAACAGCAACAATATTGACACTAATAATAATGAGAGCACACTTACTACAGCTGAAATCGAAGAATCGGCGGTATCGAAATCAAAATCGCCGTCTCCTTCGCCACCTACAGCACTTGGCACAACAGCAACAACAGAAGAACAGCAAGCAGAACGTGCATTGTCACCACCACCTTTACCCAAACGACGCATGGATGATGAGGATGACGAGGACGACGTCTTAGCAGCACGTGCGGGGGGAGAAACAAGAGAAGGAAACGCACACCGTCACCATTGGCATCACCGCCATCTGGTGATAAGCACCGCCAGTCATTCTCACCCGATCACAATAAAGACAGCAACAGCAACAATATTGACACTAATAATAATGAGAGCACACTTACTACAGCTGAAATCGAAGAATCGGCGGTATCGAAATCAAAATCGCCGTCTCCTTCGCCACCTACAGCACTTGGCACAACAGCAACAACAGAGGAACAGCAAGCAGAACGTGCATTGTCACCACCACCTTTACCCAAACGACGCATGGATGATGAGGATGACGAGGACGACGTCTTAGCAGCACGTGCGGGGGGAGAAAACAAGAGAAGGAAACGCACACCGTCACCATTGGCATCATCAAAAGCGTCTCCAAAAAAGATCATCATCAAACCTCAAATCCGAAAACTGCGGTCAAACAGTAAATGAAAAGACTCCTTGTTGAAAAAAGAACTTTGTACATATAACAATAAAAAAGAGAATATCCACGTTGCGACAATAACGTGTAAGATGATGTTGGAGGATCGTGTATTGACGTTGCACAATCTTTCTCGAGCGGGTGCTGTGGGAAGAGAGGCCACATGCGTGTGCGATAGGACAATATGTCCTAACCCACAGACATCCCAAAATTCTATGTTAATATTAGCAGAGAATCTTACTCAGGCATTATGCATTTTCTAATATTTGCTCATCGAGAAACGCTGTAATAGCAGAAACGAGGTACGTCCTACTTGAGGCACGTGGTAGAACGACACTTTCATTTACTGTACTGTGTTTCCAGCAAGTAATGTCAATAGCGAGTGAAAACTAATGTCGCCTGGCTTGCTTAGAAATCATGTCGCACGACTGGACAAAAATTTTATTCACTTTGCAGTCCAACATGAGTGTACACTTTTTGTATGATGGCCAAGGAAATGTCGTTGATGAGCATGGCAATCCTGAACCTATGGTTTAGACCAGCAACAATATGTTTCTTTTTCTAGACGCGCAACAACGCAAAGTCACGTGCATATAAGATATGAGAGGTGAGGAGAAGGAACTAGGTAGCGTTGGACTAGTTTGCGATAGAAGGGAGGTTTTTCTTGGGTGCGGGTTAACAAAAGAGAATGGATTTGCGCGATAATGTTATCGGGAACGAAGGGAGAGTTGTTTAGAACAAAGCGCCAGTGGGCGTTCCAAAGACATTCTAATATACTACTGAAAATAATATCTGAAGGGAGACGAGGAGGATTTTGGGGAAAGTACAGGTGAAAGATAACGTTGTGTACAGCAGACTCTGTAACAGATTGTAATAAGAGGTCGGGCCACACGGAGCACCAAATCGACCATTTCCGAGGGCATTGGTACAGGAAATGAGACAAATCATCTTCAAATTGGACAAGTAGCGGTGGTGAATTTCGAAGGCATAATCGAATGTAGACTTTTTCGGCTTGAGATCTTGTTGTGAAGCGCTCGATACCAGACATTTCTTGCCGTTGGCGATATCTTCAAACGCCAGAAGGTAATTAATTGTCTAGGCGATAAGAGCGTGTGTTCTCGGGCTTCGACGTAGACCAGACTTGTCAATGATGGCTTGCCTGAATTCTTTTGCTGTGATCGTGTTCAACAGCAACAATCTATTGTGTATGATAATCAATCGCCTTGCAATCGGAGTATATGTAAAAGGCAGCATTCTCGGAATCTTCCCAAAGCAAGCCAATGGAGTTATATAAGCTAGGTGATGAGGACACGCGTGTGAGAAAAGTGGCTGAAAAGCGCCAATATGTTGGGTACACTGCTAAGATCAGGCTCGTTTTTTAAGCTGAAAATTGACAAGTGTTTGAGTGCATATCCTACAGCAAAGCAGTGGAGATCAATTTTCGTACTGCACAGAGATGGTTAAGCAATATAATGAGCGGCCCGATAGTATTTTTGAGAATGGAGATAAGCAAGGCCGTAAACCGATTTAGGCTTGATGATGATCCCTCTGCTACAGTCAGCGAAGTAGCTTCTGTGGCTGCCACATGTCTTGGTGAACAAACTGTATTGGCCGCGAGGAATGCTGCATAAACAAAGTGTCGCTACTTACTGATAAAGGCTTTCTACAAAAATCCTTGTTCGCGTAGAGTTGTGGACATGCACAGGGACATATACTTTCAAAGCAACAATAAGTGAATAAGTAATGGAATAATTAAGCTAATATACACGATTGATATACAAGGTCCTTTTATATAATATCACGACGATACGAGTGCTTCGTGTGCAAAAAGTCATTAGGCGCCCATGATGAAAATATCCTGCCGCAACTTCTGGAGCAGCTAACAGCAGAGTTTCCGGCCGTTCTGACTTACCGATGCGCTGTATCAAAAGAATTATTCGACATACTGCGACCTTGCATGCAACATGCTATGGAAATCGAAAATTTTCATGACATGTTACAAGAGCTTCATACCAAACAACATATCCGACTTCATATCTTATATACTCTAAATCAACTGGATCATCGGCAAAATCAGCGTACTTTGGTCGAGACATGGAATGCGACCAAAACATATGCAGAATTTTCGACATTTGACAATCCTCAAGGCTACGCCGGCTATATCCCATCCATTCCGTATTTCCGCTTAATTTACAACGCTGTTCTGGATGTACTACGCCCGTTTATGGATAAGCAAATGGCAGCAGTCGATGGCGAGATATTCAAGGGTGATCATACCTTCAAGTTCATCAAGAAAATTGCTAAAATGGGCGACGCACCGACCTTTGTGGCCTTATACACAGTATGTAACGAATATGAAGAAGCTGCTAGTCCCGACAAAATCTCTATCGCACATGAAGACTCCCCTTGAAGAAATGATGAAGACATACAACCAATATGGCTTTTTAACCGCCTCGTTTGTTCTTCACTGGCAATGTGCGAGGGGATAAGACGCTTTTGTTGAAAACGATCAAATTATTAACGACGGACCAAAGCAAACACAACAATCTGCAAGTCAACCTGTTAAAAATCAAGCACCTTTCCTACGACTACCAAACAACATCAAAACCCACTATGTTCGAGACGCTATAGAAGCAAACGACGTGATAAACCGAAACATTATGGAAGACTCTAAAACGAGTACTATTGTCATCGGCATGGATTGTGAATGGAATTACCCTCCTCCGGGAAAAGTGGCAACGGTGCAGGTAGCATACAAGGTATAACATTTTAGAGAAGTGCTACGGGTACGAGTTTTTTTTCTTACGCGTACGAGTTTTTCTAAGCGGGTTTTTAAGGTGGTTGTGTTGTGAAACCTCATATGGCCAATCCGATTGCCGTCTTACACGTACAGTCATTTCAGAAAGTGAAGTCGCTGATTTTGAATTTCATGTCGTGCAAAAAAATTCGTGTTCAACAATGATGTCGACTGATCCAAAAATAAAGTCGTGTTCACGTGTCATGAACTTCGTTTACTTTTACTTGTCGCTTAGTAATTAACCAATAAAGTCTTGGCACTTTTATTATTATAAAGGGAGGCGATTTTGAAGTAGTTTTTTCCGGTTTCTTTTTCCTGTTTACAATTTATTTACAGACATTCAGAATGAATGTGCAATTTCTTTATGAAGATGGACAAGGACATGTTGTTGATGAGAACGGTGTTGAGCCTATGGATCTTGTTGTTGACGAGGAGTTATTCGCTATCGAAACAATAAGTTGTCGTACTCAATTCCTAATGAATAAACCTCCGGAAAGACCTTCTAATCCTGTAATACATCCAGTTACTAATGTAAGGAACAATGAAGATGTTGATATGGAGTTATGCAATAAGCGACGTTATACACTTTACTCTGATGAAGACAAGACCAGATTTTTTCATTTATTTTTCAGCAAATGTTTGAATGCTTCTGCTGCTGCGAGACAATTAGGTATTCATATCCGGGCAGCGCAGAGATGGGTTACATGTTATTACGAAGACCCTGAAAGCATCTTTGAGAAGAAGAAAAAGCCAGGTAGACGTCGTATTCTTGGGGAGGAGCATAAGCAGTTTCTTTTAAATTATATTGACGAGAATCCTTCTGCTGTTGTAGCTGAAGTGGCAGAAATTTTAACGCAAAACTTTGTGGATCTTAATGTTTCTCGTAGCACAATTTATAACTTCATGACAACTGAGTGTAATTTATCTATTGAGCAGGCACAATTCCAGCCTGTAGAAAGAAATAGCGAAGAAAAGATTCAACAAAGGTACGATTGGGTACAAAAGTGGCAGCAAACTGACATGGACTTTACAACAAATTGTGTCTTTCTGGATGAATCAGCTTTTCACATTAATTTGAAACGAGGTATGGCCTGGTCAAAGAAGGGAACTCCCGCAATAGTTACAGTACCTACAACTAAAGCGAATGCAACATCGATTTTAGGTGCCATATCTGCCACTGGCTTAATTAATGTTAGTTTGAGAGTTCCAAAACGTATTAAAAAGAGAAAGCTTGGACGCGAAACTGATGGTTATAGTGTAGGAACAGTGACAGGGCATTACCTGAGCTTTTTAAAGGCAACTCTGGATGAAATGGACAAGTATCCAGAAATGAAAGGGCATTATCTTGTTATGGATAATGCTCCAATCCATAGCTCAATTGATATAGGAAAGTATATTCACTCTCGAGGATATCGCTGCGTTTATCTTCATATTCTCCTGAACTAAATCCAATTGAGCAGTTCTGGTCAGTTGTCAAGAGTAAAGTTAAGCGGAATAAGTTTTTGGAAAAGGAATCGCTAATGACAAGAATTAGTGAGGCATGCGATAGTTTATATATGAGTGACTTCAAAGGTTTTGTAACTCATTCTGCTAAATGTTTCGCTAAATGCCTCAATAAAGAGAAGTTATAAGGTTGAATCCAGCGTAAAATGGCCACCTGGCCACACTCTTTTTTTTTAACCAGCGTAAAATGGCCACCTGGCCACACTCTTTTTTTTTAACCAGCGTAAAATGGCCACCTGGCCACACTCTTTTTTTTAACCGGCGTAAAATGGCCACCTGGCCACACTCTTTTTTTTAACTGGCGTAAAATGGCCACCTGGCCACACTCTTTTTTTTTAACCAGCGTAAAATGGCCACCTAGCCACACTCTTTTTTTTTAACCAGCGTAAAATGGCCACCTGGCCACACTCTTTTTTTTTAACCAGCGTAAAATGGCCACCTAGCCACACTCTTTTTTTTTAACCAGCGTAAAATGGCCACCTGGCCACACTCTTTTTTTTTAACCAGCGTAAAATGGCCACCTAGCCACACTCTTTTTTTTTAACCAGCGTAAAATGGCCACCTGGCCACACTCTTTTTTTTAACCAGCGTAAAATGGCCACCTAGCCACACTCTTTTTTTTTAACCAGCGTAAAATGGCCACCTGGCCACACTCTTTTTTTTTAACCAGCGTAAAATGGCCACCTAGCCACACTCTTTTTTTTTAACCAGCGTAAAATGGCCACCTGGCCACACTCTTTTTTTTAACCGGCGTAAAATGGCCACCTGGCCACACTCTTTTTTTTAACCGGCGTAAAATGGCCACCTGGCCACACTCTTTTTTTTTAACCAGCGTAAAATGGCCACCTAGCCACACTCTTTTTTTTTAACCAGCGTAAAATGGCCACCTAGCCACACTCTTTTTTTTTAACCAGCGTAAAATGGCCACCTGGCCACACTCTTTTTTTTTAACCAGCGTAAAATGGCCACCTAGCCACACTCTTTTTTTTTAACCAGCGTAAAATGGCCACCTGGCCACACTCTTTTTTTTTAACCAGCGTAAAATGGCCACCTAGCCACACTCTTTTTTTTTAACCAGCGTAAAATGGCCACCTAGCCACACTCTTTTTTTTTAACCAGCGTAAAATGGCCACCTGGCCACACTCTTTTTTTTAACCGGCGTAAAATGGCCACCTGGCCACACTCTTTTTTTTAACCGGCGTAAAATGGCCACCTGGCCACACTCTTTTTTTTTAACCAGCGTAAAATGGCCACCTGGCCACACTCTTTTTTTTTAACCAGCGTAAAATGGCCACCTAGCCACACTCTTTTTTTTTACCGCCTATGACAACCATATTATCTGCAGCTGATGCTGCTTGTTCGATTTATGGACTCGAAATCACTTTGGAGAATCAACTTTCAGCATTACAGCAACTTAAAGATGCTGGTTTGGAACCTGTTACGTTAGTCAATGGCGATCCCACCATTGCGGTCGCCATGTCAACAAAGAAAGTGAACATGGAGCCTTGGAGATACCAGCGTCTCCCACAAAATACCAAACAAGAACAACAATGCGACGATAGCAACAGTAGTGAACCCTTTATTGTTTCCATACCACCATCACGATCAGCAGTTCTTGATCTTGTGGCTAAGATTATGCCTTCCACACCCATCCCAGGCATAACGGAAGAGTATTTTCTTTCGGAAACTGAAGTCCATGACCTCGTTTCAGTTTATATTCCAGATGATACTGTCACATCAGATGACCTTTCCGCCTGGATGTCAAAAGATGGCACATGGGGTATGACTATTCGAAGGCAATCTAATAAAAAACGAAAACGTGGCCGATTGCTCAATGTCGTCAAAAAAGTTTACAGAGGTAATACCCGGAAAGTATCTATTCTTTATTAAAAATATTCATCTTATTTTGACTAGATTTTACTTGGGATGATCTTTCAAATATTCAGGAATATAGATCACTGGTCAAATCGTCAATGGCCACCAAATGTACTGTTGGTTACGTACGAAAATCAAATACCAATGAACCTGACACAACCAAAAAAAAGCTAGTAAATCTCCAAATCTACAAGATGAAGACGAAGCTCTTATGTGAAGATGTATTTGTGTCTTACAACACTTCTGCCAACGACCGAATTGCCGAAAGGGATGCAACAACTCCACCATATACTTTCGACGATTGCTCTGGTAATACACAAGACTTAATCACCAAGATCACAAAATCCGCTCGACAAATTCGCCTTGTGGTAATTGACTATGCCGGATTGTCGACCAATCCTGACGACATCAGGTTATTCATTTCTTTGAATAAGTCCGTACGAGAAGTGGTAGTGGATATTGGTCATAAGGTTGAAGTATATTCTCGTTTTGACTTACTCAAAAACATCAAGATCCTCACGAATTTCGATGTCGGAGAGAATGTGTAAAACGATCGCGATAGTTATTGCAGCAGCTGCAACAGCACTGTAGTCACCACATCAAACAGCAAAAAAAAAAAAAGTTTACTGCTCCTATCATGTATTATCTATTCACCCTTATCCTCAATACCGTTTCATTTACAAGTAGGACATTTTCCACAGGTCAAAAAAATAAAATAACCAAGGTTAGGCAGCCCACTTTACGCTGGTTAAAAAAAAAGAGTGTGGCTAGGTGGCCATTTTACGCTGGTTAAAAAAAAAAGAGTGTGGCCAGGTGGCCATTTTACGCTGGTTAAAAAAAAAGAGTGTGGCCAGGTGGCCATTTTACGCTGGTTAAAAAAAAAGAGTGTGGCTAGGTGGCCATTTTACGCTGGTTAAAAAAAAGAGTGTGGCCAGGTGGCCATTTTACGCTGGTTAAAAAAAAAGAGTGTGGCTAGGTGGCCATTTTACGCTGGTTAAAAAAAAAGAGTGTGGCTAGGTGGCCATTTTACGCTGGTTAAAAAAAAAGAGTGTGGCCAGGTGGCCATTTTACGCTGGTTAAAAAAAAAGAGTGTGGCTAGGTGGCCATTTTACGCTGGTTAAAAAAAAAGAGTGTGGCCAGGTGGCCATTTTACGCCGGTTAAAAAAAAGAGTGTGGCCAGGTGGCCATTTTACGCCGGTTAAAAAAAAGAGTGTGGCCAGGTGGCCATTTTACGCTGGTTAAAAAAAAAGAGTGTGGCTAGGTGGCCATTTTACGCTGGTTAAAAAAAAAGAGTGTGGCCAGGTGGCCATTTTACGCTGGTTAAAAAAAAAGAGTGTGGCTAGGTGGCCATTTTACGCTGGTTAAAAAAAAAGAGTGTGGCCAGGTGGCCATTTTACGCTGGTTAAAAAAAAAGAGTGTGGCTAGGTGGCCATTTTACGCTGGTTAAAAAAAAAGAGTGTGGCCAGGTGGCCATTTTACGCTGGTTAAAAAAAAAGAGTGTGGCTAGGTGGCCATTTTACGCTGGTTAAAAAAAAAGAGTGTGGCCAGGTGGCCATTTTACGCCGGTTAAAAAAAAGAGTGTGGCCAGGTGGCCATTTTACGCCGGTTAAAAAAAAGAGTGTGGCCAGGTGGCCATTTTACGCTGGTTAAAAAAAAAGAGTGTGGCTAGGTGGCCATTTTACGCTGGTTAAAAAAAAGAGTGTGGCTAGGTGGCCATTTTACGCTGGTTAAAAAAAAAGAGTGTGGCTAGGTGGCCATTTTACGCTGGTTAAAAAAAAAGAGTGTGGCCAGGTGGCCATTTTACGCCGGTTAAAAAAAAAGAGTGTGGCTAGGTGGCCATTTTACGCTGGTTAAAAAAAAAGAGTGTGGCTAGGTGGCCATTTTACGCTGGTTAAAAAAAAAGAGTGTGGCTAGGTGGCCATTTTACGCTGGTTAAAAAAAAAGAGTGTGGCTAGGTGGCCATTTTACGCTGGTTAAAAAAAAAGAGTGTGGCCAGGTGGCCATTTTACGCCGGTTAAAAAAAAAGAGTGTGGCCAGGTGGCCATTTTACGCTGGTTAAAAAAAAGAGTGTGGCTAGGTGGCCATTTTACGCTGGTTAAAAAAAAGAGTGTGGCTAGGTGGCCATTTTACGCTGGATTCAACCTTATAACTTCTCTTTATTGAGGCATTTAGCGAAACATTTAGCAGAATGAGTTACAAAACCTTTGAAGTCA